ACCCAGAGCGTTGCAGATGCCGGCGGCGAGCTTTCCTTCGGCAGATAAAACACCCCCAACAAAAACACCAAAAGGAGAAGAAACAGAAAACACAACCACCAGGATACACCGAGCCATTCGTTTCTGTAGCACAATAAAACAAATAAAATATAATTAATAAATAATAAAATATTATAAATTATAAAATATTAAATATACACGAGAAAAAAAGCAAAAAGAAACAATAAAAAACAATATATATACAAACAAAAACACCAAAAGGAGAAGAAACAGAAAACACAACCACCAGGATACACCGAGCCATTCGTTTCTGAGCGAAAAAACAAATAAAATATAATTATTTATTATTTATTATTTATTATTTTTTATTTTTTATTTATTATTTATTTTTAAGCAGAAAGAAACAATAAAAAACACTAAATATAAAAAAAAACACAAAAAAGAGAAAACACAGAAAACACAACCACCAGGATACACCGCAGCATACGCTTCCATAACACAATAAAACAAATAAAATAAAATATAAAATATAATAAATAAATAAATAAAAAATAAAAAAAAAAATAAATAAATAAATAATAAATAAATAATAAATAAATAATAAATATTAAATAATTAAGTATACACGAGAAAAAAAGCAAAAGAAAAAAAAAAAACACAAAAAGGAGAAGAGACAGAAAACACCAGCACCAGCATACACCGCAGCATACGCCTCTAAACCCTAAACCCTAAACCCTAATAAACCCTAATAAACCCTAACAAACCCTAACAAACCCCAACAAACCCCAATAAACCCCAACAAACCCTAATAAACCCTAACAAACCCCAACAAACCCCAACAAACCCTAATAAACCCTAATAAACCCTAATAAACCCTAATAAACCCTAATAAACCCTAAACCCTCACCGTGTTTCTTTTCACAAGCTGACACATAAGGAGCAGAGCCTCCGCCCATTTGTGGCCGATGACAACCGCAGTGACCATCCATACGGTAGACACGTCGCTGGCGGCTCCTACTATCACTCCTGTATGCATCACACACAGAGTATATATATGTATGTATGTATATATATATGTATATATATATATATATATATATATATATATATATATATATATATATA